ATTGTAAAGAGTAGTTTTCGGAGCAAAGCTCTTAAGATACAATAGTACAAGATGAAGAAAATAGGGAGGAGCATAAAGTTGGAGGTTAATGCACGTTAATATTGCTTAATATTCACAACTTTTGGAACTAATTTTATTGCCTGTAAATGATCACTGCAACACGAATCTAATTAAGAAATTTGTAGGGTGAGTCGGTGGGAGAGGCCCCTTACCTTTGGTATGAATTTGAGCTTAGGACGTAGCTTCGCGGACTGTCAAGCGCCAACCAATTAAGACCGCTAGCGTTGCTATGCTGTGGAAGAGAAGGGAAGGCAAGGAGCCTAAATCGACCCCCTTATTTCTGTTTTTTCAAAGACACTAGAGCAGTACAAAGAGAATGGACTCTCGGATGAGACTAAACAGCTACCGTCGCCCATGACCGACCTATCTAGATTAAGACCGAAAACTCTCTCTAAACTCAAAACTAACGTAGAGCCAAGTTGAAGCTGTCATTTCTATTAGATTCATTTAGAAAGACAAATCAGAATAACCCTTCTTTTTTTTTTCGTTTCCCGAATGAATGGGTTATGGAAGTTTTTATGACTATGTCAAACGAACATTCAATTAGGCACGTGTTTGAATTTTGTGTTATATATAGGAAAAGTCTTCCTAACGCCTATAGGCGAAAATAAACAGTGATTTCGTCTACCTTTATCACCGTCTAAAGTTCATTGCACGGTTACGATTGTCCAGTAGTGTTTTATTTTTCATTTTTTTTTTTGTACAAATCGGAATGATCTAAAATTTGGATAGTGTGTACATCTTAGTGAGGCGCACTTAATAAATAAAAATAAAAAATTCATGAAAAAAATTTGATCAAAATACCCTTGAAACATTTCGGAGGTATTTTGGTCAATTTATTTCACATAAAATTTTTTTTTTTATATTTTTTGTAGATTCGTCTATTTTTTATAAATACACGCTCCAAATTTCAGATCATTCCAATTTGTAGAAAAAAAAAAAAATTAAACACTACTAGACAATCGTGACCGTGCGATGAACTTTGAATAGTGATGAGGGTAGGCGAAATCACTGTTCATTTTTTCCTATAGACGTTACGTAGTGTTTTCATATATATATATATATATATAGTAATAGGTTGGTGGAGTAAACGTTTTTCAGAACACGTATTTATTTTGGAAATATGTTGGTGAAATACTTTTGATCAATTTTTTATTGGATTAAAAAAATTCAAATTAATGAAGACAATTGTAGAAATACTTTTTAGAAAGTTGCAAAAAATATATGCACCATGATCATCGTTTTACCTCATTAAAGTAGAATAATAGAGAGAGATCTTTCACATACCAAAATTAATGTTCATATATTTGCCAAAAAGGCGCCAAAATTAGTATTCTTCTATTTTACCATAAAGACAACGTATTTTTTATTATAGTAAGTAATGAGGTATTTATTCTGATTTATTTAGTAAGTTCGCATTCACAAGTTATGGAAATTTCAAACTAAAGATAAATAAAGTTCAAACTAGTTTTGAATTTGGAAGTACATACAAGTTGGAATTTTTTGTATGGAAATTTAATTTTGAAAACCAGTAAATATTAAAGTTCGAAACCAAAAATAAAGGAAATTTTCAAAATCCGGAAACCGGAATAATATAAGGGCTCATTTGGATACCCAAAGATGCCTATCCCGGGAAGATAACTCTCATAGAATATGCATATCCTAGAATTGGCAAATCCTGGAAGATGGTGGTATGCTATTGGGATAGCATCTGGAAACGCTTATCCTAAAAAGTCTCTATCCATTCCAGATAACATTGACCAAAATTCTTCCAAAATGTGGAGATGCATCTACATGGGAGATGCATCTCTGTGCATTTTTGTGATCTTAGTAGTGTAAATCAACGAACTCCATGGACATACATCTATAAGAAGGATACCTCAAGAATAGTAGATCTCATGGATTACAAGCTTTAAAAATAAAGTATTTTTGTTTTCAAGCGTTCACAAATTTGTCAGTAAGTACTTAGAATTTTATAAATGAGGATACTTCAAATTTCGTAATTAAAGATAAAAATAGATTTGAGGCTATCATAGAGTTTTCGGATATCAAGACTAAATTTTCCAGAGTTTTGAGGGGTTGTGATCATACACTTTATAAAATCTTGTTGTTTTCAAAAGCTAGAGTTTGAGGTTGAGGAAGCCCTTTAAAGAAGGCTTGGGCATGGAGTTGAAGACCTTGGCCACTGGTTTGAAAACCAGAAGAACTATGATCTTTGCCTATGGTTTCATGTTTGCCTTCATCTCGTTAATTGCCTTTTTATTCTTCAGGCAACTCTTTTCTCTGGTTATCAAACATTTTTTGGAGTAGCTCGGGGTCTGATTCTTGTTCTTCTTCACTCTCTGCTGTTTCACTCTCTATATCCTCCTCCTCGTCTTCTTCTTCATACTCTGGAGAATGGAGAGATCGAGGGCCATGGCCATTAGGTGTAGAGAGAGAAGGGTTTCGCAGAGGAAGTTTGGCCATTGGGTATAGAGAGAGAAGGGTTTCGCAAAGGAAGTTTGGAGCGATGGGAGAGATAAGGAATGGAGCTTCCATGGCGCTCACCATACAACCAGAAAAATCTTAGAAAAAACAGAGGACAGAAAATACCAGAAAAAGTGCAGAAGCCCTAACATCAGCGTTTAAAGTTCAAATGGCCAAAAGTTTAGAACTAGAAAACCCTAAAACGAAATTCGATCAGAAATGGACTCCCATCCCAATAGAGAACAAACAGCGAGGATAGGAAAATGGAGTCCAGATAATTGATAAAGGCCAGTTAGAGAGAGAAAAGGGCAGTTAGTTAGAGAGAGAAAATATTGCACTCCGATGAGTGGGCTGAGGTCTAGAAGAGGGTTTCGGCTTCCTCTGAAACTCCACGAACTGAAGCCCAGTGTGGAAGTCGACTCGACACTATGAAGAAGAAAATATATTGAGAATTGCAGAGTCCAAGGCTTAAGGCCACACTGCATCTACGAAATGGCCCTGTTTCAACATCACCAACATAATAAAATAAAACGAGGATTAAGTGGAAAAAACACTGTAATTTTTTCGCCATGGATATTTTTTTCTTTGACATCTAAACTAAACTGGCCCTTTACAATCTTTTACACGCGGGAGGGGGTGTGAACTTCCTCGAGACTTGCCCAAGCACTTACGTTTTCTCCATTTTTTTAGAATGTGAAACCACTTAATTAACTTCAATTAATTAAAGATGACCTTCATTATCATTCCTTTGTTTCAAACCTATTAAATTACACACAACCTTGGGCGCTCGTAGGGTAATCCCGCTCGACCACTCTATTATATGGCCTAGCAGGCAAATCGTGCCAATAGGATCTTTTTTCGTTAGGGAAATTTTTAGATAATACTTTTTATTACCTTGTAAAAATTAAACATAAAAATAACTTTCAGCTTTTGGAGCTCAAATCTCACCATCTTTCAAATAAATATTTGAGGGGTAAAATAATTTAGAGATTTTTTTATAAGATAGGTAAAAATAGTCTAAAACGTGGTGTAATACACAATACATATATATGGGAGTGCCAATGGTTCTATAGTAATGTAGTGAAGCAATATTCAAAAATCGTGTTAGGGATATATATATACTATGTTATTCTAATAAACGACAATTAAAAAACACAAAATTTGAAAACATCTTAATTATTTTTTTCTTTGGCCATAGGCCATCTATTTTCATGAGATATTTAGATCTAAGCTTTATTCTTCTCTAAAATGTCACTAAACACCTGAAACCATTAGATGTATCATTGGTTGGTTTGTGTTTGCTGTATTTTCATACAAAATTTTAGAACAAAAAATTTAAACTTTATCAGGAATGCCTTTCCCTTTGAGTCGATTTTATATCAGACAGCTTGAAATGATTGTGATCTTTGTAAAAGTGCTTAACGTGACAATGATTTTTGTAAAATTGTATAATCCCATGGTATAATTTCTTACAATTTTCCTCCTACCTCCTTTTTTTAGAGTGAGTGTTTGATGGTGGTTAGGGGTGTCACCTGGTGTGATGATAAAAGGCTAGCAGGAAGTTTCGATTCTTAAGACCGATCACTTTTGGTGTGATGATAAAAGGCTAGCAGGAAGTTTCGATTCTTAAGACCGATCACTTTGTGTATAAGCTAAAGGTTAGTTTTGAAAACAGCCACTTTTTATATAAACCAAAGGTTAAGACTGATTCCAACCCACCCCTCCAGAAAGTCTGTTTGGGCGAGACAAGCACCGGCTTACGTCCCTTAGTTTTTGACTGTGGTTCCACCAAATCTTTTCCTCAATACGCTTTGCCTAACATAAAGGACCGATTGGCCAATTGGCAAATCCGTCGTACTTTCTCTCTCTAAAAATAACCTTGACACCCTTTATTTGCGAAGCGTTAAGTTCCTTCTACACTTTCTCTCTCTAATTGCAGAGAAGCACTCTGCGGAGAAACCTACTCAAACGATGAAAATTTTACCCAATTATTACACCATCTTTTAAATTTTATCCTTGATTCAGAGGAACCTCTGTATTTATCCGACATTGAATCTAAATGTGGATAAACACGATCTAGAGAGAGAAATTTTCCCCAATTATTTCACCATCTTTTAAATTTTGTCCCTAATTTAGAGGAACATGTGTATTTGTCCGACATTTAATCCAAATCCGGATAAAACAAGTTAGAGAGAGAAAGTAGCAGCGGCTACAATTTCGCCACGAGGAAAGTGCCAGTCTTAAATGGCAGCGTCAACGCCACGACGATATCAAATACGTGTCTTTAGTGAGAAACTCTTCCCTAAAAAAACCTAGAGAGAGAAACCTATTCCAAAGCTAAGTCCAAATGATGAGAGAGAGAAACCGAATCCTTGAAATAAATATCAAATAAATCCAAGTGATGAGAGAGACAGAGCCTATGTCCAAATGATGAAATGAGAGAGAAACTCAAAATATCAAATGATTCCAAGTGATGAGAGAGAAAGCGTCCGAATGATGAGAGAAAAAACCCATCTCCAAAAAGGATAAGGTCGTCCACACGATCAGCCGGCTCAGCGGATAAGACCTGGCCATTTACACTGCATTTTCTCTCTCTATAAATACCGCTGTTTATGCGCTCATATCCTCGTCTTTTATGATCACAGGTTTTGGAGAGGAAGAGAGATCAATACCCATCTTATCATTTCTGGGAGTCATACTGGTTTTGCATTGTAAGTTCTAGAGAGAGAGATTTGAGTGGGCTTGTTGAGGAGAAAGAGCTAGGGTTTGGGGCTGTAATGGCTGCTTTTTCGATTGCGGGGAGAGGTTTGTTGCATAGTGGGTTGTGGAAATCTAGAGAGAGAAAGGGAAGGGGGATTAGGATGGTCAATGCGAGATCAGGGAGTTTGATGGAGGAGTATAGGACACTTCGGATCAAACCAGGAGCTTCTGAAATGGATGTCAAGAAGGCGTTTCGTCAGCTTGCTTTGCAGGTGGGTTTCTCTCTCTATCGTAATGGGTTTTTTTAAAACTTTTCTGGTGTTTTGATTGAATGGGTATTTGATCTATTTTCATTACTTGAATAGATCAACTGAATAAACCATTTGATTGATTCTTAATTCTATCTCTCTCTAATGGACTTTTCTTTAAGTCCTTTTTTTTTTTTTTTTGAATGTTAAGCTTTTCTTCTCTTTTTGGTATTATTTATTAATTTTTCCATCTTTTAGTGGATTGTGATTGAATGGGTATTTTTGATCTGTGATCATGTCCAATAATACCTCCTATTTTATAAATCCATGATTAATTTGGCACTCACTTTATTTTTATTCTCTTCTCATTTTATCTATAGTCTATTGTCACCCACTTATATAAAATTTTAAATTTATTATCCGTCCTTTCTTCTTTTCTTTTTTTCCCTTTTTTTGGGAGTTTTGTTTTGGTAATCCCTGATGAATGTATGAATATTGGGAGTCTGATGTTGGTTATTTTGTGTTGGGTTTTCCAGTATCATCCAGATGTTTGCAAAGGTAACAATTGTGGGGTTCAATTCCACAAGATCAATGAGGCTTATGATGTGAGTACTCTCTCTGTTTGATTTTGTTGTGTATATTATCTCTCTCTCTTATTTTTCTTTTTTTTGTTTATAATATTTAAATCTCTCTCTAATACACAAATACATAGTATAATATATCTCTCTCTTTTTTCTTTTTCTTTTTTTTGGTATAATATCTAAATCTCTCTCTAACACAACACATACATAGAAGGGTAAGTGATTCGAGAATATGATGATTATTTGCAGATTGTAATGAGAAGTTTGAGAGAATCAGAAGGAAAAGAAGAGAATGGGTATGAGAGCAGTGATGAGATGAGAGGGATGTATGATTCTTCAAGTTGGGACTTATGGGAGGATTGGATGGGTTGGGAAGGTGCTGGAATTAGGGACTACACCTCTCACATCAACCCTTACATTTGAATTCACTCTTCCTATACCTTTTTTCACTTGCTCTATGTAAATGCTGTAAATAAATAAAGCATTCTTCCTGGTGTAAATCCTAAATGCTGTAAATAAATAAGCATTCTTCCTGGTGTAAATCATCTACAAATTGGACCTTTTCTATATTTTAATGAGAAGGTCAAAAAAAAAAGTGTTACCAGACCCTCTATTTCTATCTTATAAATTTGGTTATTAATTTGTGGTCTCTCCTCTCCTCTATTTCTTTGGGTATCTCTCCTCTTCTCCTCATTTGATTTATGCTCTTGAGATGGGGATTTAAAGCTAGAGAAAGGTGACAAGGGTTGAATACTCTTTGTGATCCTGAAGGACCATGTTCCATTTTTTAATTTTGTTTTTGGATAATTCATTTTAAATTATTTGTGGAACGTCAAATTTGGTCATCAACGAATTTGTACTAATTTAATTTGGTACAAATTTGGCCAATTTTGGTCAATCACATGATGGATCTAATTAGCAAATTCGTACTAATTTTCGAACTCCGATGGTAAATTTTATTTAACACAAAAACAATCAAGAGTTGTAAAAGATCCTAAATTCATCTCTAAAATAAGAAGATAAAAAGGTGATTTGAGTTCAAGATACCCTCCCATATATTTACCCAAAAAAGAGACCCTCCCCTATATGTTGTATTTTGGGAAGGGGTAACCGGACAGGAAATTAGTACTCTTGGAAGAACACCTTCATGTTCTATTTTTTCTTTTTACAACCAGTGGCTTGGGTAGGTAAAATGAGTCATTTCTCATGGCTATAAAAAAGTTTGTAGGTGATTTCAATCTGGATGGGCTAATGCTATTGGGTTAAATGATAGGGGATTATACACAATTAAACCATTTATCTTTTGATACAAGAAATTCACAATTACTTGTAAATAAATTCACAATTACTTGTAAATATCCATTGTTATAAACAAATTTGTAGGTGATTTCAAACTGGATGGGCTAATTCTATTGGGCCAAATAATAAGAGATTATATACAATGAGACCATTTACCTTTTCATATGAGGTCATAATTATTTATAAATATCCAATGTGAAATTTGATATTTTGGGTGTGTGACAAAAGTCGAGAAAATTTCTTTTGAAGTTTGAGATTAGTCAATGGAATAAATACAACCTCCAATTTTAAATCCGATGGTCAAGATTAATTGTAATTACCTTTTACTTAAAGTACATGGTCTCATTGTATGCTTTTCCTGTGACCACCTTGTACTTGTATGGTTTCATTGTATACTTCTCCAAATAATAAAAGGAGAGGTTTGTATAAGGTGCCTACTTTATATTATCTTGAGGTTTGTTCCAAATAATAAAGAGTGAGGTTTGTAAAAGGTGCCTACTTTATGTTAAAAAATAATTAAATTTTTTTTTTGGAAGATGTAGTTCTTGTGATTGAAACCTCCAAAGTCATTAAAGTTTAATTAAAATTTTCTTGGAAGATGTAGTTCTTGGGATGGAAACTTCTAAATTTTCTTGGAAGATGGAGTTTTGTGATGAAAACCTCTCAATTGGTGAAATTATCTGTTGAACCCTATTTATGAAATTAAATTTAAAAAATGGTGTAGACCAACCTTTATGATTAACATTTGAAAATCTTGAAAATAGATAGTCTAGATAATTTGTTACAATATGCATATTTTTTAGAGCTTGAATTTTTTTGTTTGTTTGTTTGTATCTATACGTCTAGACTTTTTTGTTTATTTGTTTGTATGTATACATCTCTAGGTCGAGATGATTAATTGGAAGGTTTTTCAACACTGGAATACTCTTTATACTTATTTTTGAGGTATTTCTTACTTGTAACCTTATATAAAATTTTTCAATATTAAAAATTCAAATAATTAAAAAATCTAAACCGAAAATAATATAAAATAATTTCATTGAAGTCTATCGATGAATGGCTGGTTTTCATAAACTTGAATCATCCATCCACTGAAGTCGATCCGGATGGGAGATTTTTAAAAACTTGCTGACCACCACATTCGATCCGGACCGGCGATTTTAAAAGCTAACGGGAACTTGCTATCAAAACCAGGGTCCACGGTAGATTCGGATGGGTGATTTTTAAAAGCTTACGGGAACTTGTTATCGAACCCAACCCAACCCAACCCAACCCAACCCAGGTTCACACAGCCCCACCTCCTGTCTCAGAAATCCCACCCCTCTCTCTCTCTTCTCATAATTTGATGGTTTGAAAACATTTTGGAGCAGTTGGTGCATTGCTGACGAGTGACACAAGGGATCAGCGTCATTTGTGGTAGGTACCATACCATACCATGCCATAGATGCTTGCCTTTTATGTTCCTTGATCAAATTGAAATGAATTCGATTGAATTGACCACCCACTTTATAGCCACCCAATATTTTACTAACCCAAAACCTCAAATCACACATTATTTTCCTGTAATTATTGAAAATGAATACTTCGAGCAGGTACATATTATTTTCCTGTAATTATTGAAAATGAATACTTCGAGCAGGTATACAATGTTCCCTCATTCACTTCAGTAGTTTTGGACCTAAAATTTTGAGAACTACTTAACCATTACTTATATGATTATTCTGAAAAAAAAATGAAATTTGATGTTTATGATGTTGTTTTTTTTAAGTGGGTAAAAGGTACAATTAGGATATTCTTTAATTGATGTAAATCTATGGGTTGAAGATGTTATATCCCCAAAAACTCGAGGTTCTTAGATTAATTCTAGATAAGATTTTACTAAGTAACTGGACATTCTACTCCCACAAGAGTAGAACATCTTTTGGTGTTTGTGTGCGCATATGTATCTTTTGCATTCACATCACCATTGAAAGTGTGATCTTCTATCCGAAAAAAGAAACAATCATTTTGAAATGCTAAAAGATTTCCTGCTCTCTAAGGAGTGTACTGTCCATTTCCTCTCTCAGGGCGTAGTACATGTAAGGGATACTTTTTACGACTTCAATTTTGGGGATGTCATCTCTACAACACACTAAATAAACTCAGCAAAAAAAATTCCAGAAATAAACTTTTCATGTTATTTTAAAAAAATAATACCTCAATATTGAATAGAAACCGTTCAATTTTTAAAGTACCATCTCAGTGTCACAAAATTGAAAATTCTCCTTAAAGTTTTAAACTGAATCCTAGCTAGTTGTTTTGACCGAGGGGGTAGATGAGCACTATGCTCCTACGGGAGCACATTATGTGTTCCAAATGAAATAACGATATGTATTCCTTTGGTTATTAGTATTTTATTGGGTATTTACTTTCAAAAAATGTTTTATTGGGGCTATTTTTGTTGGGACTTTCTCCCCCTCTTTTTCTTTAGTATTTTATCAAGGATATTTTCTCTTAGAGAACGACTTAACTAGGTACCTATAAGATGAGGTACCGTGATGTATGTTATTCGCATATGACATTGTTTTGACCAATGAAACCCTAAACAACGTCAACACAAAGTTAGAACTTTGGAGGAATGCTCTAAAATCTAAAGATTTTAAAATTAGCTGGACTAAACAAAATATATAAAATCCAAGTTTAGTAATAATAGAAATAAAGACGGAGAAATAATTAAGATTGATGGCTAAGAAATATAAAAAAAAGTGCATTTTCAATATCTTGAGTCGATAATCCAGAAAAATAGAGAGATTCCAGAATATGTCACACATAAAATTAAAGCTGGATGGGCAAGTGGAGATGTACAACCAGAACTTTGTCTTCGCCGCATACCACTGAAGCTGAAGGGCAAGTTCTATGGGACAATAGTGAGACCAGCTTTGCTCTATGGAGAGGAATGTTGGCAGTCTAAAAATAATATACCCATAAACTGAGCGTAGTGGAGATGATGATGTTGAAATGGATGGGTAGAAAGGCAAGAATGAATAGAATTTAAAATAAATACATTCAGGAAAATTTAGGTGTGGCACTAATAGGCGATAAGATGAGAGAGAGTAGACTTAGATGGGCTGGCCATGTGTGGTGCAGACCCAATACAATACTTGTTAGGAGGTACGAGTTAGTTCAAGTAGAAGGTTAAAAAAGGGCAAAGAGTAGGCCCAAAAAAACATGGTTGAAAGTAATAAGAAAAGATACAGAGACTTATAGCCTCACTGAGGGTATGGCCCTTATTAGGCGGATCAGAATTAGTTTAGCTGACCCCAATTAGTTGGGAAAAAGCTTTGACGATGATTTTTTCTAGGAAAAACTCATGCTCTCGGGCCCTTAGATATCCCATAGTAGAGTTTTTCAATGAAAGTTTTGTTTCTTACGTTTATCCTATTTTTCAATTTTATTTTCTCAAAGTACCCCCATATCGAGCCTCAAAGTCATAAGGGATTTCTTTAATTTGACATTGGACCTTTAAGTTTTCAAGTAAACGTCAAATATCGACTTAGAACCTTGAAGATATGAAGTCTAAGACTTTTAAGACTTGACAATCATGAAGATTCGAAGTCATGAATTTTTTTACCATTTAACATATCGGAGGTTTGATTTGGGAAACAATGCGTATGAAAACATAAAATTTGTGAGATATATTTGTAATAAAGAATTGAGCATGTACGAGAATAAATTTCTTTGGAAATGTGGAGATCTCTCTGTCAGCCGATTGAGCCCCTCAGACATATGAAATTGTGGGTGATTGGGAGAAAAATTTGGAGTTATTGAACCATGAAATTATATTTCAGTTTTGATCTTTGTCTCATCTCCTTTGGAGGTATAATGAGGGGGTTAAGAACTCTAATGGGGCTATTTTTAAGTTGAGATTGAAAATGCAAGATTTTGAATCATAAGCTAATATTTGATTAAAAATATACACAAAATCACGTACTTGTTGGACATGGTGATATCCAAAATCATCTACATTAGTAAATCCCATATTATGTGGGATTGAGATTAATATTGATAAGTTTTCTAATCTCAAAAGATTAGGATTTTTGGATATATCTCTTGGTTGTTGATATATATATATATATATATATATATATATAT